AGTTCAATCTTTTTTTTTTTAAAAAAAATCTAGTTTTGGTTAGATATTTCAGCCGCAATTGCCCTTTAAAGTTTGTTTGCGCATAATGATAATCATCTTGTATAAAAAATTCATTCCGAATTTTTTTACGTTTTGTATTAATGCTCCATGAATATTCGATCAATAATTATGAATGTGTATATATATATATTTGAGAACAAATGGAGCAACATTTTCTAAGTTTCCAAGATGTGTTAAAACATTGTATCTTAAAATGGCTCTAAGTGCTACTTTTTCAAAAAATTTTCGAAAAATTTTAATTTGACTTTTAAACATCATAAAATTATCAATAACAATTGGTCTGATGTGATATTTTAGAGTGTTATGGTAATCATTTCAACAAATATTTTTTTACTAACACACAACATTGATTTGCTTAGTAAAAAAACGAGTATTTGTATTACCCGTTTATTCGATTATTTCGACAGATCATCAAGTGAGTTGATACTTTTTGTAGGGGTGTGTAGTTAAAAAAGATGCAGCTACCTCCTCAGCAACAATAATTGGAGGAGATTATAATGCAGTCCCTAACCCACAAATAGACAGATTTCCAATTTCTAATATCTCAAGACCAGAATCAAAAATATTCACAGAACTATAGAATAAAGGCTGGAACGATATAGCTAGAACAATTTATCCCCAGAAAGAGATATATACAAGGAAGGAGGGGGGAGCAAAAGCAGAATAGACCAAATATGGACAAATTCAAAAATCAGTCCTCATATTGCAAATTATAAACAAGAAAACGCAACACTTATTACAAATAGTGATCATGATATAATAAAAATCTTAATCACCAATCCAAAACAAACAATACACAATAATAACCCTAAGAATGAGAAGTCTCACCAAAGAATAGTGTTTAATATAAAAGACACATCAACAAAGCAATGGGAGGAATACCAAAAAAAAACTATTTATCCCCAGAAAGAGATATATACAAGGAAGGAGGGGGGAGCAAAAGCAGAATAGACCAAATATGGACAAATTCAAAAATCAGTCCTCATATTGCAAATTATAAACAAGAAAACGCAACACTTATTACAAATAGTGATCATGATATAATAAAAATCTTAATCACCAATCCAAAACAAACAATACACAATAATAACCCTAAGAATGAGAAGTCTCACCAAAGAATAGTGTTTAATATAAAAGACACATCAACAAAGCAATGGGAGGAATACCAAAAAAAAACTAGACAAAATAATAGACCAAAATACAGTTTATTTAGAAGATCAAAGAAACAACACAGTAGACAATTTATGGAACCTTTATAAAAGAGAACATTAATAATACAGCAAAAAGTACAATACCATGGAAGAAAACGAGAATAAACAAAATATATGAATCAAAAATCTTCAAAAGTACGTGCATAATATACAAGGATATGAAAAAAATTAAAAAAGCAATCAAAATGGTTAAATCATATATCAAAACAAATGGTGAAATAGAAAGTGACATCCAACACATTGAAAGTATAATACAAGAAATAAACAATAATGGGACATTACAAATTACATTAATCACAAAAAACATAGTTGAGGATATCTCTAGATTAGAAGGATGGTTATCAGAAATTAAACGTAAGGGAAAAGAATTATTTAGAGCATTGAAGAACAAATCAAACAGAATCAATTAATAAAAGAGGCAATTGAAACTCGATGCAACAATATAGATGATAACCCATCCAGGATGATAAGCAGCATCTTAGACAGACACAAGAAACCTCTAATTATCAACAAAATAATAGAAAGAGGAGAAAATGATGAACCAGTAATATACACAGAAACAGAAGAAATAATGAATAAAACTCGTAAATATTTCAGAGATATGTCAGTACAAAGGCAATGGGATAGAGTGGAGCATATAAGACAGTGGAGCGAACAATACACACCCAGAAATTACATAAATGAAGATTGGTATGAGGACCTTATGACAAATATCTCAGAAGCAGAATTACAAATAGCTATATCTGAGTGTGCAAACAACAAAGCATCAGGCCCATCAGGCATAACATACGAATTAATCAAACATACTTCCCAAAAATTTAGGAATTTAATTAGGAAACTCCTAAACAAATGCATCATTACACAAAAAATCCCCAAAGAATGGAAAAACTCATTTATATTCCCAATACCTAAAAAAGAAGCTTGGGATGGTAATTTAGCAAACACCAGACCAATAACATTGATAGAAACTACAAAAAAACTTCTATCAAAAATATTAACTAATAGACTATCCACAATATTCTCCACATACAATATATTAAAAGGGAGTAATTTTGCTGCATTGCCAGGAGACTGTACACACACACCTCTGCATATTCTGAATAATCTGATAGAAGATGCTAAAGAGAAAAATAAAGAACTCTGGGTTTTGTGGATATATCTAAAGCTTATGACTCCATGAACATACAAATTTTGGAAAAGGCAATGAACAGAATAAGATTACCCAAAGAATTCATCAACCTTGTGGTCAATACCCTAAATAACAGGTCAAGTCAAGTAATCACATCTGTTGGAGTTACAAATAAGTTTAATATAGAAGATGGAATTGAGCAGGGGGAAGTGTGGTCCCCTATTCTCTGGAGAATTTTTTATGATCCCCTTCTGTGCAAATTAGACAAACACCCTGAACTAGGTTACAACATGTATACACAAAATTTAAGAAAACTCAACATTATGCAACCCACTCCATTATCAGTATCAATAAGCAATCTAGCTTACATGGATGATACTGCCCTCATAGCCAGCAATCAAGAAGCTATGATATCATTATATCAAATAACAAAATCCCTTTACAAAGCCACTGATATAAAAGATAATCTAAACAAGTACCAATTGGTCATTCTAAATTCTAAGAATAAAACTATAACTTTACAAAACAATCAAATAGTTAAAGCTGCTGGAATGAAAGAATCAGTGAAATATCTAGGGATATTGATACAAAATCAAATTATTAATGAATGAACTTCCAGTGCTTGAAACACTACACAAGAGGAATCCAAAACTATACACAGACAGTATGTGCCCTAGGTGCCTAGAAAGCAAAGAAGACCAAATACACATTTTGACTTGTAATGCAAACAAAACTTCTGTGATGGAGATAATTTGCTTTGAGATACATTTAATGTTAAAAAAACTTAAAAAAAAAGGAAAATGCAGTAACAATAATAAAGAAACAATAAATTATCAAGCCCTCAAAACAAGATTATTAAATCTGCCATATTTTAATCATAACAATGAAGCATGTACACTTGTGCTGCTGAGAGGATTTATACCAAGTGAAATTCAAACATGCTTAGAAGAACAGAAAATACCCAAAAACAAAATAAGCAAATTAACAAGAAGCTTATGTAAAAAGATAGTGGAAAAATCCAAAGAAAAGATATGGAAAGTGAGGTGTGATAGTATCATACAATGGGAAAAAGAAACAGGAATCACAATGGAGCAGAAAGTGGAAAGGTTTAACAGTAATAATAATAATAATAATAACAGTAGAAATAGTAGTAATAATAGATCTATTAATAGAGACAATAATGAGGATAACAACAACAACACTAATAATAATACTAGTAATAGAAGTAGGAACTTTAGTAATAGTAGCAATAGAAATAGAAGTGAAATTGTAACAAATTATTATGTAAACATATGTACTGAAAACCTAATTTTATTTAATAAAAGAGTGGAATTGAGCTATGGCGATGCCATGGATCAGTAGGTCTGGACCGCCATATCCATTCAAGGTGGCAGGTCACAGTTTTGGGTAGTGGGTCACACCACTATCCACGACTGAATCAAACATTGTACGATTAACCCATTCCAAGAATGGCATGATCATCATAAAATGTTTGGTCAGACCTCACTCAGCAAAAAAAAAAAAAAATAATAATAATAATAATTAATATAATCCAAATTTGGAAATCAATTCTGGAAAAAATTAGAACCTCCATCTTGATAAATTCATATATGTTACAAACGTGATACTTCCATGCATGTTAAATTTTATTTTATTTTAAAAAACACCTATAATAGTTGAAATAAATTCCTCTGAATATATACTCTGAGGATCACTGCGAAGTTTACAAGATATAAGAAATTACTAGTCAAAGAAAATTTCATTTTTTAAGTATATTTTAAGTATATTTTAAGTTCACTTTTCACTTTTTTACTTCAATAATGTTTAAGATGATAAAACCAAAAATAGTAACACCTGTCAATGAATGTCCTTAACAAAGGCGGATTACTGCATGCTCTATTTTAAAAAAGATATTAGTTGAAAAAATGTGAAAAACATATCAGATGAAACATATTAAATAGATAAAATAAAGGATCACAAAATTATTTACAACAATAATAAGCTGTAAGAAAATTATATATTTATACTCATTTATTAATCACTTTATTTGTACATAATTTGTTGTTTATTCATTAACAACTAAATATTTATTATAGATATAAGAAAATTCAAATTTATTTTCTCGATAATTCATATATATATATATCCATCCATTAATCCTATTTGTTATGAATGTAAGAAAATTCAAATTTATTATATATATATTCATCCATTAATTCCATTTATTATGAACATAAAAAATTCAAATTTATTAAATTTATATATTCATCCATTAATTATAGGTGTAAGGAAATTCAAATTTATTATATATTTTTCTATTTATTATGAACATAAGAAAATTCACATTTATTAAATTTATTATATATTCTCCATTAATTATAGATGTAAGAAAATTCAAATTTATTATATATTCACCCATTAATTCCATTTATTATGAACATAAGAAAAATTCAAATTCATTATATATTCATCTGTTAATTATAGATGACTTTTTCAATATTTTACATATATATTTACCAGTCACAGGACATTTCCCGCCGATCTATAGGAGGTTGCAAAACATAGTAAAATTTGGATGATCTGCATCATAGTAAAATTCGAATTTACATAGTAA